ATCATTCTAATTCCTAAGTTCCTTCAATATTTGTTATACTAGATAAGAGGTTGGGAAACTTACTCTGTAAAAGCTCAGATAGTAAATAGTTTAGTTTTGTGGGCCATATGATATCTATTGCAATATTCTACTGCTGTGTGAAAGTCATCAGAGACAACACATAAATGCATGATGTGTAACTGTGCTCCAATAAAACTTTACTTACAAAAGCAATCTGTGGGCCGGGTTGGGCCTGCAGGCCATAGTTTGCTAACTCTTGATGGTTGACACTATTTTGGAGTTTTCAGAGCTTGAGAGAAACTTAGTTAAATTTCCTCATGTTACTTGTGTGTCACCTGTAGGAAAGGGGTTCATTGACATATTCAAGGTCACACGTTTATGATGGAGCTAATGAGCAACTCAACTAATTATGAGGTCTAATGAGCAACTCAACTAACAACAACCCTACATTTCTAGTTTGTGACTTTTAGTATTTCATTTTCTTCTAGTTAGTATTGAATTTTAAACCATTTTGTATTACTCTTTCGTTACTTCATGTTTAATTACTTTTTGTGGATTCATTTATTACTGCCACTTATGGAGGAATAGACCATATATCTTTATATGTATGTGTGCATATATACAAATGGAATGTAGCAAAGTCGAATTTTATATGTATCTATACACACACACACACATATAATCTGTCTGAAGTAGTGAAAACAGCAAAATGCAGTGTAAGATCTCAATAAATATTCGTGATTAATATCCTCCAGGAGAAAATACAGTAATTGTTGCATTTTTTTGCTTAGTAATATGATTATAGATTATGTTTTAATTTGGAAGAATGTGAGATTGCTAGTGCTTTACATTCTGATAATAATTTTGCAGTCACATTTTTTAAAAAAGTGCTTATTTGCCTGGGTCTTCACTAATCTCAATTTAATTCTAATTGTTATTCTGAATAATTACATAATTTTTTCAAATCATTACTTAATTTATAAATTTTTTAAAATTGATTTTTATTTGATTTTTTAAATTAGCAAAAAATGTAAAATTTGATATTCAGATGATCAATTTGTTACAGAAGTCAATTTGTTTAATGTAATAACTCTAAACTATATTATGGTTTTATAAATGCTACATTTAAATTCCAAATTTAAATTAGCTATTGGATCATTTAACCAGTTATCAACTTAGTTTAATTACATTCAATGCAACCATATCTAGGCATAGGATATTCAGTTTTAGAAAAAATGTGTCGTGCATTATTATCAAGTGTGAGCTAGCCTGACTGAGCAGGTATGAACTAGAAAAAAGTTTTCCTAGCATGGTCCTGCTGATTTCTAACGTAGCTTTCTTCCTCATTTTCTTCATATTTCTACTCAAATACTACCTGATCATGTTGTCAAGGCTTGCCTTGAGAAGTCAGCATAAAATAGCAATTCTCTTCCTCTCCACCTCACCCCCATTCCCTGCCCACTGTTTTATATTTAATGTTCCTTGTTAGTATTAATTACCAAAAGATACCATAAATTTACATTTTTTTGTTGTTGGGATGTTTCTTCCCACTAAAACATAAGGGCTACAAGGGCAGGGCATTGTTAATTTTGCCTTCAGCTGACTTCAGTGCTTGGCACAACATAGACACCTGATGCATATTTAAATGAATGAAATGAACATGAGTGAATGTTAGCACGTTTCTAATATAATGAGAACATTAGAAAGAATGTTTACTCCAATTAGAGGCAACACTTATCTCAAAAATTATAAAAAGGTGTAATCAAATGTATCAGAAAGTAGGAAAATCAAGGATGTATATTTGTGCTCACTTATAGCTAAACAAAGTAGTTGTTTTTGATTAATATGAAACCCATCAGTTTAGATGATAGCTTTGTGAATTGATACTTTTAAAACAAATTTTATGTTCTTTACATCCTTTTACATTTAACTTTCTGGGGAACTTATTTATACACACATGTCATATTTCCCAGAGGCACTTGCAGTATAACTAAGAAAAATAAGAAATTTTAAAAATATTATATGAAGATGGGTTTGTTCATTTTAATTTCCAATTTGTATACAATTGAGTGGTGAGATAATAAATAATAATTCATTTCTCCAGTATCATTGGGGACTTCACTTAAGTGAATTTACAAGAAAATTAGTTTATTCTTTCTGTTGCTAAGTTATTTTTGCTTATAAATTTCTGAGAGAGAAACCATTTTTGAATATATAGAGAAAAATTTTCTGTCTTATTAAACAGAGTTCTGAGCATAAACATTTGTTGGAAATTTAAGACCACCACTTTAAAAATTAAGTGTTGTAGCGTGTTATAACATGAGATCATGCTTCCGACTCTTTGAGTTTCATTGGGTTTAGTACATTCATTCATTTATCCTACAAATGTTTTCAGAGTACGTGCCAAGTACCATTGTTCAGATTACTGGAGAGTAAGCATTAGGCCAACTATCTAAAACTTCATTTCCGATAGAGCTTTCTGTCTAGTGGGAGAGAAAGGCAACAAAAAATTAAATGAATAACAACATAACATGTCAGGTGGTGCTAAGTGTTATGACAAAAAATAAAGCAGGGTGTGGATACAGAGATAGATGGCAACAAAATGCTGGGTGAACTACCGAAGCCTGTCTGCAGTGGCAAAGGTGACATTGAGCAGAGACCTGTGACAAGAGAGGATAGTTGGACTAGTAATTGCAAAGCCTTACAGCAGGGGCAGGCTTGTTTTTAAAGGAAAAGGAGGGGCCAGGCGCGGTGGCTCACACCTCTAATCCCAGCACTTTGGGAGGACAAAGCGGGCAGATCGCGAGGTCAGGAGATCGAGACCATCCTGGCTAACATGGTGAAACCCTGTCTCTACTGAAAATCCAAAAAAAATTAGCTGTACGTGGTGCCACGTGCTTATAATTCCAGCTACTCAGGAGGCTGAAGCAGGCAAATCGTTTGAACCTGGGAAGCAGAGGTTTCAGTGAGCCGAGCTCGCACCACTGCACTCCAGCCTGGGTGACAGAGCGACACTCTGTCTCAAAGAAAGAAAGAAGAAGAAGAGGAAAGGGGCCATGGTGCTAGACAGGAATAGACAAGGACCTGGGGAAAGAGATGAGAATAGTGCTGTGGCCATCATAGGCCACTGGGTGGCAGGGTGGCAGGGGTTGGTTGGGGGGGACTTCAAACGGTATGCCAAGTTGAGAGCAGGAGCCAGAGAACAATTTGAATATAGCAGCCACATGTTCACTTACAGTTTAAAAAGTGTTTCTTCAGCTGCTGCAGACAGAACTATAGCAGAGTGAGAGGGGAAGCAGGAAGACCACAGTCTTTTGTAACAGAGAGCTCTGGAAGCTGTGTGTGCACGATCTGTAGCTATGGAGTTGAAGTGAGGCAGTAGGACTTGGAACATCCCAGTATCAGAAGACATAGCCCTCCATACCATCTCCCAGTGAGGGAGGGTAGACTCAGAACAGTCCTGGCCACGTTAACATTAGAAGCACTTAGGCATTGGCAAAATGAGAAAGATCCATCAAAGGAATCAGAGAGCAAGCAGCTAATGAGAAAAAAGAGAAAAAAAAAATGTTAATGACTTTATAAAAGCCAAGTGCAGAAAGTGTTACAAATAGAATTGAGGTATCGCCCGGTTCCAGTGCAGTTGATTGGTTGAGTATGATGGGAACTGATTAATTTTTCTGTCAGTAATAATTTTCAAGTTGGTGATTATTCTGTCTTTACTTGCTGATGTCTCGTTCGTTCTTTGTTTCTTTCTCTTTCTTTCTCGTTCTCTCTTTCTTTCTTTCTTTCTTTCTTTCTTTCTTTCTTTCTTTCTTTCTTTCTTTCTTTCTTTCTTTCTTCCTTCCTTCCTTCCTTCCTTCTTTTCTTCCTTCCTTCCTTCCTTCCTTCCTTCCTTCCTTCCTTCCTTCCTTCCTTCCTTTCTTCCTTTCTTCCTTTCCTTCTTTCCTTTCCTTTCCCTCCCTTCCTCCCTTCCTCCCTTCCTCCCTTCCTCCCTTCCTCCCTTCCTCCCTTCCTCCCTTCCTCCCTTCCTCCCTTCCTCCCTTTCTCCCTTTCTCTCTTTCTCTCTTTCTCTCTTTCTCTCTTTCTCTCTTTCTCTCTTTCTCTCTTTCTTCCTTTCTTCCTTTCTTCCTTTCTTTCCTTTCTTATGGTGTTTCTCTCTTGTTGCCCAGGCTGGAGTATAGTGGCATGATCTTGGCTCACCGCAACCTCTGCCTCCCAGGTTCAAGGAATTCTCCTGCCTCAGTCTCCCGAGTAGCTGAGATTACAGGGATGCACCACCATGCCCAGTTAATTTAGCATTTTTAGTAGAGACAGAGTTTTTCCATGTTGGTCAGGTTGGTCTTAAACTCCCAACCTCAGGTGATCCACCCACCTCGGCCTCCCAAAGTGCTGGGATTACAGGCGTGAGTCGCCGCTCCCAGTCTCTTTTTTCTATTCTAGTAGGAACACGTAACATGAGATCTGCCTTGATAAGTGTGCATGATTATCTAGAGGTACAATATTGCACACCAGATCTCCAGAACTTAGTCATCTCACATAACTGAAATTTTATACATGTTGGTTAGCAACTCCCCATTTCTTGGTCTTTTGACTTTGGTAGGAGTCCTCTTTGTCTTTCCTCCTCCAACCTTAGTAATTCCAGTGCTCTGTTCCTATAATGTATAAATACCTGAAGATTTCCAGGAGATGCCCGATACCAAAGCTTATTACAGGAACAAGCTCAATTTTACTGATGATTCTCAGATACAAGGCTGAAGTGAAGTCCTTCAGAGTGATGCACTTTGCCATGGTTTTCTGTTTGAGTATCAGGGTTATATAAACTCCTCCTGTGTTACATTATATTTTGGATAACAGAAGTGCCTCAATTCCTTTGCTAAATATTGTTCCAAAGACTTATAAAAGACATACCAGATTCAATGATTATTTTAACTAACACATACCAATAATTATTTAGAAATTGTTATTGAGTGTCTCTCTCCCTCTCTGTCTTTTGTTTTCAGAAAAATGTGATGAGCCGCTCGTCTCTGGACTCCCCCATGTGGCTTTCAGCAGCTCCTCCTCCATGACTGGTAGTTATTCTCCCGGCTATGCCAAGATAAACAAGCGAGGAGGTAAGCCAAATTTTGATTCATTTATCAATAAACATGTTAAATAAGAACATGTTTTATTTACAGCCATATATATATATAATATATATAAACTCACACAACAGATGTTGGCAGACACCAGAAATCATTCTTGCCACTTCTATTAAAAGATCCATAGAAACCATTAACCTGTCATGTAATCTCCATTGGGGAATAACATAGGAAAACTTAGGCTGGAAGTGAGAGATACTAAGTCAAAATGGAAGACATTTTGAAGTTGTCCGGGATAATAAAGTCGAAATGGCATAAACATTTAGAGTTAAAATTCCTATTAATCAGAAAATCATTTAGAAAGATGTAAAAAGGAATCGATTCCCACAATGTGTACAGTGTATTAAAAAGAGCACTTTGTATTTACTGTATATTAATGTAAAAACTTAGTTCCTATTGAAAATGCAAATGACCCTTATAATTTTTCCTCCAGTACCCAGAAAATCTGTGTGAAAAATAGTTAGATATATGCAACTACAATGTGAATTCTTGATCTTAAATCATGGTATTTGTTAGTAACTGGAAGTTTCTAATTTTCTAGCAATTCACTGAGAGTAAAAGAACATAATTAAGGACAGAGGCAAAACACTTTTGCTTCAAAGGAACACTGGTACAAATATCAGCAAATGGCAACTTAAAAAGGAAAGAAACAATATTGTCTTAGATAAATATGAATCAACAAACAAAGACCATGACGTTTAATTCAGTAAAACAGGAATGATGGTTGACACGGGCTTCAGTGGAGAGGGATTAAAATTAGAGATAATCTGTTAAAAGGTACGAAGTTTTAGTTAGACAAGATGGATAAGTTTTGGATATCTATTGTGCAGCATGGTGAGTGTAGTTAATAATATGTTGCATGCTTGAAAATTGCTAAGATAACAGCTTTTAAGTGGTCTCACCATTTACAAAAAATAACTGTGTTGTGATGGATGTGTTAATTATCTTGAATTAGTTATTTCACAATACATATATCAAAACACCATGTTGTATACTATAATATATACATTTTTTGTGATTGCACCTTAATAAAGCTAAAGGAAACTAAGAAATGTGAAATCATAAAACAATCTAGAATCAACCAATTCTAGAAATAAAAAAAAAATAAAAGGGAATGAATATAGGAGGAAGCAAGGAAGGGAATAAGGGAGAGAAGGGGAAAGGGAGGGAGGGAGGGAAGAAGGAAGGAAGGAAGGAAGGAAAGAAGGAAGGAAGGAAGGAAGGAAGCAGGAAGGAAGGAAGGAAGGGAAGGAGGAAGGGAGGCAAGGGAGGCAAAGAAGGGAAGGAGGAAGGGAGGAAGGGAGGAAGCATGGAAGGAAGGAAGGAAGGAAGGAAGGAAGGAAGGAAGGAAGGAAACAAAAATGAAAAAACAGGAGGAAACCCAAAAGAAAAACAAGAAGAAGAAAAAATAAAGGGAGGAAGAAAAAATATTGCATCATAAAAGAAAGGCTTATCAGATTTAGAAAGACCAAAAAAGAGAAGAAAATAGATAAGACAAAACTAGCCTAGTGTATACAGAATAATATATAAGGTATTCACAGAAGTATGAAGAGGTCTCAGTTAGTAAAAAGACTTGGTGAAAAAGTGATACACAAAGGTAGAGGAACTTGACAAAAATGCAGCTTTCGTGTAACATTAGTATATATTAGCTCATTTTTATAACCTGATATTCATCAGGCTATGGACATGAGAGACTTGTTGAGTTACTATAAGTTATCAAAAATTCTGCATAATGATGTTGAAGTAATATAAATTTTATTTCTCTCTCATAAAAGTCATTGGAAACAGCTATTTAAAAATGAATATAGACAGAAAAACATGAAACAAGGGACTGGCCGTACCTAAAAGGTATACAGACCTTCCCAGTACTAGGAAATCTAGGACAAAATATGAACAAGATATACCATATAATTCTGGTCCCAAGAGAATGTACTGTTCCCTAAAAGAAGTGCCATAATACCAAGAGACATAAAGCACCTGTGAGGAATGGAAGCAGAGTCAGAAAATGTTGCTTTCAAAAGCTTTGAGTGAAAATATGACTGAAGAAGATGATTTGCTAGTAAATTTGGGCAAGTCAGGTTCTATCATGCAAACAGCACTTCAGGAATACAAATGAGACAATCTAGTCACCAATGAGAAAATGGAAAGTGCACAATAAAGAAACTGTGGCCACATGACTGGTGTTGAGCAAGGAACCCATTTCCATATACGACCTCAACTAAACAATGCAGGTGCTATAGTTGTAGGAGACAGTATAGATGTTATAGGCACAGAAATTTAAAAGTGTCAATTATGGGAATTAGAGAGATGTGGATATTTTTTCTTTCTAACCTTTCAGAGCAGCAGGCTACCAGATGCTGAAACTCCAGGTACAAATTTATTTTGCCTTTGATTTTTTATGGGAATTAATATCTTTTACAAAATATATATATATAGAGAGAGATAGATTTTTTGTTCTCATTTAATTCTAGAAAAGTTAAATTATTTTATCTTTGCTTTAATATAATAGAAGATACCACTTTACATCATTTAGAGCTAGTTATGTATTTATCTACTCATATAGAGAGAGTCAGATATCTGATATTAAGCTTCCAAAATGTTGATATATTTTTTAACTTGGATACTGGGATTTGAGGAGTGTCTTTACTTTCCTTATAGTAGTTTTGTCTGTAGTTTGTAGAATATATATTTATATCTGATAGCTAGCTACGTAGGTAGGTAGGTAGAGAGAAATAGAATGCATTTCCAGAAAGACAGATGTTTCAAAAGCAAAAAGCTATAAAACAAAAGTTACAGTTTCTTAACTGTGTGACCCGAAGTTCATCTCTTTTGGACTATTGATATACTGGATTGTCATAAATTAGGGTGAAATTCTCATGTTGGGAAAGAGAGTGTTGTCTGTCCTATAGATATAGGTTTACACTGTGCTGTAGCCCATTTTATCAACATTTGTTACGTGGGGAGGTGCAGCCACGTACTTTTTGACTCCTAAAGACTGCTTTGCTTATCAGGTTATGCTGTCCATAAGGACATATAACTCGCCTTCCCCAACCCTCTCATTTTTGCTCCCTAATTTTTACGGATGGTGAGGTAACTAAGCTATATCTTCACCCTTTGTGCTGCTCTGCCTCTGCAGGTACAGACAAGACATATATGTGTAGGGCTTAACCCTTGTTGGCCATGTGAGTATGGGGCAAGGGAACTAGCATGAGAAACGAAGGTTATAGCCTCTCCAAGGATAAACAAAAAGAAAGTCATATATAGTTGTTATAATAGAAAACATTTTTTTTTTTTTAGGGTCTCACTCTGTTGCCTGGGCTGGAGTGCAGTGGCATGATCTGAGCTCACTATGAGCTCCACCTCCTGGGTTCAAGTGATTCTCCTGCCTTAGCCACCCAAGTAGCTGGGATTACAGGAGAGTGCCCACCATGCCCAGCTGATTTTTGTATTTTTAATAGAGAAGGGGTTTTGCCATGTTGGCCAGGTTGGACAACAAAATATTTTATTCCACTCTAAAATTTATATGCAAATGCCCTTGGGAGAAGAGACATGTAGGGTGAAATTCATGATAATATATATGTGGCTAATAGCCTGCATTGAGAGAAAAGAGATTTTTTTCTTTAAGTATAGCATGATGTTATATATCTGGAAGATATAAAGATGACAGATAATTCCAAGCAGAAAAAAAATACATGAGCATTACAGAATCCAGGAATGTTGGAGATACATTTTCTTAATTTACAAGTGGCAAGAGTCATCTGATACACTATATAAGCATCTGAAAGTGAGAAGATCATATACTAACAGAAGAATATAAGAATGTAACCTACTAATTATACAAATGCTGAAAAGAACAAATTCAGTTGAGCATTATGTTGATAAACATTGGCTTTAAGTTTTATTATTTACTTAAATGATATTCCTAAAATACATTTTGGAAAGAGACTTCATAAATACATAGAAAAGCACCGTATAAATGCAAATATTCAGATGACAGATTGTCACAAATTCATGAAATTGAATTTAGTTTATAGGTCTCCACAATACAAATCCATCTGCTATAATCTTGATGTCAGGGACCAGTACATGGCAAAAGTGGGGAGGAAATGTGACGTTTAAATGAAAAATTCATGTGTAATTCTAACATGTCTTTTGGAGCCCACTGCTTTTAGTTTGTTGATGCTGTTGTTTTGTATCAATGCCTTATTCCTGTGATCTGTGTACTGATTTATCCCCACATTTTTAATCCATTGAAAGCTTGTGTCATTCTGAGTTAATGGCAGTTAGATGTGTTACTCTTTCCAAGGTTAGCACAGATACAAAACCTTTGAAAGTCTGAAACAGTGTATCCCTTACCTTATTTTTAATATAGAATTTTATAGATTATACACTGCTTTCATCTGTGCTTTAATTGTTTCTCAATCTTCATAACAACCTGGTTAGAAAGAATGGTAAGTTAGAGATGCCAATCAATTCTTCTGCCAAACTTTCAACCTTGTACTTCATATGCTGTTTATAGAAACCAGCCCTTTTCTCCTGCCAGAGACACAGCCATCCACCACATGGCTCAGGTCTCCCTCCACTACCACAGAGGCTAAGCGAGAACACCTGATCTCAACGGATGCTATTAGAATCTCTCTGCTTTGTTATGTGACATCATTTTGGGAACCCAGGGGACTACTGGGGAAACCATAACAGGCTATGTGTAAACTAGAAAGAGAGAAGAGGAGAGCAGATGCTGGGGAAGAAGGGAAGGCATGAGGCTGGGGCACCTGCACAGAGAAGGACGAATCAAGCTCTGGTTTCACTCACGGCCTCGTTCAGGCCCCTGTTTCCAGCTGGCTTAACTTCTGACTGCATTTCAGCTTGAGTCTCTGAGATTATCATTCCACTTCTAATAGTCACCTCCTCCTGTCTGAGCTCATTCAAGTTTTTCTTCCTAGTTACTAAAGGACTTTTGGTCTTAAAGAAAA